GTTTTGTTTTTTCTTTTCTGATTTCTTTTTTAACATTATGGTCAAATTGTTGGCCGTTTACTAAAAATGCATGCACAACATAGAAAAAAACGTCTAGTTCTAATAAGTACAAACTAATGAAAATGGAATTGGTTCTGCACCACAAGAGTGACAAATTGTGACTATGTATTGGTGCATATGTACATACATACATACACTTTATTTTTTCTCGAATTTAAGAGTGGCTATTATACAAGCTAATTTTTTCGAGAGAAAAATAACAAAAGAAGTCAAGATAATATACTGTAACATACACACTACAATTCTGTACAATATTTACAATTAACGGCCAAAATGAAATAAATATGTATACTTAATATTTTAAAATACTATATTAAGCAGAAATTTAACTTACAAAATGTCCCAAATTTACATTAAGTTAAGGCTAGGTAATACTTTTATAAAGTCATTAAGGTTCAACATTTGAACATTGTCCAGCAGTGAGTTCCATTGTTTAACAACATGATAAGAAAAAGAACGAAGGCCACGAGTAGTAGTATTTTTGGGTTCAGGGAGTGTCAGAATGTAGTTACTGCATAAATTATAGGAGGTAGTATGGAAAAGAAACATATTCCTTGTGTAGATAGGATACTTAGTTAGAAATAAACTTTTGTGTAGTAAATTAACATTTTTATTGTGTATACGTCTGTTATATAGAGAAACAAAGTTGAATTTGTCCGATAAGGTATTCTATGTAGAATCAAAATCATCTAGAATGAACCTAAGACTCCTCATCACTCCATGTGTTGCACTGTAGTTTCAATGTTAAACTTTTTAAATTTTTTTTTATTTATGTTTTTATTTTAATTAATTGCTACTTACACTGCTTACAATACAATAATAATGTAGCTACTTACACTACTTACAAAAAACTTATTACTTACGTCACTTACGATACTAACACTTACTCTATACAATACGCATACTCACGCTACTAACAATACTAATGTTAAACTTGACTTTGACTGATTGTTTAAATTGACATCTTTTCCAATGGAACTAACTGGAATCCTTTCTTACCACCACAGCTTAAGGAAGTTATAGAAAAGCTCCACCCCCTTGTAAAAATGGCAAGAGCTGGACAAGTTCCCAAAGAGGTATTGGAGGCCTTCTGTGATATAAGCTTAGACCAAAGCATTTGCCTGGAAATGTCTCTTTTTAGGTTACATGATAAATGAATCTGTTTGCTTATTTTAGGGAGCAGACTACCTTGAACTGAAGCACCAGCTCTACCTCAAGTAAGACTTTGAAATAGTCATCAAGAACTCTTAATATTTGGCTGTGATTTTAGGTTAATTGTTGTGGCTGCTTATCATGTGCAGAGTTATGACCATAGCGCAACAAGAACAAACTGCTGTACATCCCCCTTGGGTGGGAGTCGAACTCTTAGCCCTGCTAGACATCTGGTTCAGGGCTCGGTTGCTTTTTAGTCTCATTAACCACTGAGCTACAGAAGACTCGGGGCCAACTTCTTCCTATCGATTTAAGAGAATTGTTCTTTCATAGGAAGTCAAAAATGTGGTTTTACAGGGCTGTCATTGAGTTTAGAGTCACCTGTTTCCTCAGTCTTCACAACCATAATATTATTATTGATAACAAACGTTTTACTTTTTGGGTGTCGTGAATTGTATCAACAAAAAGCAAGTTCATCTCTAACATCAAGGGCCTGTCAAGCAACTCAGCTGTAACAGGCTTAATGGAGATTACAGCCCTTAGGGAACAAAACTAAATGTCTCCTGTGGGAGTTGTCTGTTAGCGGTAACAGCAGATGCTTAGCTGTGTATTTTGACTTTATAGTTATTGTGTCAACATTGGGTTTTACCTATTGCTGAAAGCAAGACAAACCTCCGTAAGAGATCACCCTGTAATTGAACGACTGGTGCAGTACAAAAAGGTGAGAAAAACAAAGAATCAGATTCAGATTCATCAACGGCTATATTACAATCAAGCAGATTAGATTTTCTCTCTGTTACGCCGCAAAATGTAATAATCGCCACAAAATGTAATATTAACGCAAAATGTAATAAGAATCGCCGCAAAAAGTAATAACATTGGCGCAAAATGTAATAAAAAAGTCAACGCAAATTGTAATAACTTTTCTAACGCATATTGTAATAAGGCAAAATGTAATAATTTTCGAACGACATGTACGATATCTCGAAACCAGTATTATGACCCGGCCAACGTTATCCTGACGTAGGTAATACTGTGACATGTAGGTGAATTGAATATTTGGTTCAATTTGATGTACAGGTTTTGTTTCGAAAAAAAAAGTGCAATAGCTTTCAGTTTGAAAGCTCTGTGGATCGGAATCAGGAGGAATATCAGGTTGTAACACCGTCATCCTTTCACAATCTTCAACTCCAGAGATAGTCTTTTGAATAGGCACTGCGTTGTTGTTGAAGGGTGTAGTGATTGAAATATATGGGTACAGTCAACTCAAAACTTAAAAAAAAAATTATAAACTTTAAATTGAACGAAACTTCCATTATTACGGACTCTTGATCGCTTTTACATACTTAACCGACACATGTTCCGGTGTCAGGACCGGAACATGTGTTGGTTAAATCTGTAAAAGCGATCGAAAGTCCGTAATAACGGAAGTTTCTTTCAATCAAAAGTCTATAATTTTTGCTGGGGATTCAGCAGCTGTCCATATCAACGGGGTGTCCGAAATATCGAGGTGTCTACAAGGCGAGAAATGACTGTACCCATATATTCCAATCACCACACCCTTCAATAACAACGCGGCGCTTATTCGAAACACATAATCTCTTGAGTTGAAGATTGTGAAAGTATGGAGGGGTTACAGGCGATGTACCACCTGATTCCGCCTGTACACCAAGTTGAACCAAATAATAGGATTCACCTACGTTAGGATAACGTTGGCCGAGTCATAATACTGGTTTCGAGATATCGTACATGTCGTACGAGAGTTATTACATTTTGCCTTATTACAATATGCGTTAGAAAAGTTATTACATTTTGCGTTGAAAAGTCATTACATTTTGCGTTGACCTTTTTATTACATTTTGCGTTAATATTACATTTTGCGGCAATTCTTATTACATTTTGTGGTGATTATTACATTTTGTGGCGTAACACTCTCTTGTTCCAGTAGCTCTGACAGATTATCAGGCTTAAAATAATTTATTGGATTTACTTCATTTGGTTGTATTTATTTATTGGTTGGATTCTTTTTACAACAAAATGGAGCTACATTATTGACCAATCGCTTCCGTGATTTCGATGTCTGCTTAATTTTTTGTCAACGTTTGTGCTTTTTTTCTTTTCTTTTCTTTTTTTTTTTTTGAAATCTAACAGTCGTTTGTTGTTATATGTTTGAAGCTCATAACAGAACTTGAACCGCTGGATGAGAAATTGAAGCCAGAGATAGAGGTGCTTCTTTCGCGAGGGCAAATCTCCAGTGAACAAAATGGTAAGATATACATGTTTAAGCATTATTATACATTCGATGTACATAACACATTTGTGCTTTACAGTGTATTTTCGTTCTAATTACGTTCGATGTGGTGCATTTTGGTTTGGTTTGTTAGTTTGTGTATTTTATCTGTTCACTGCTCCAGTACAATTATTCAATCAACCGATCGACTGACCTTCCGTCCGTCCGTCCGTCCCTCCGTCCGTCTATTTTCAACCGTTCGTCCGTGCGTTCGGTCGTCCGTCCATCGTGCTTCCTTCCGCTCGTCACTCCGTTCGTTCCTGCGTTCGTTCTTTCGTGGTTTCTTCGTGTGTTCATTCGTTCTTTCGTTTCTTCCTCCGTTCGTTCGGTTCTTTGGTTTTCAGTAGTTTGCCGATATTTATGTTTTATTTCTTTTCTTTAGCTTTACAAGAAAAGTCAAACCCTAGTGGTCACCATAATAAGGTACACTATACTTTATCGAATTAATGTAGCTTGCAGTCCTTACGTTTACATGCCTTCCGACTTGGAGTTGTTTTGTCAGTGTCGTCACACTGTAGCTACCTGTGTAATGTTGAGCGTTCATCATTTTCACATGTTAGAGTTCGTGATAAATAATACACTCTGTACGCAACAAACAGAAACTCGCAAGGGGTTGATTCAACAACTTATGGGTCTCTGTTAGACCTGATAGTAATTTAAGTGTGTGCGATCACCTTGAATAGATACAGTTTTACTGTTAGTAAGCGCTGACCACGGTAGGAACTTACTCAAACCTTCTTTTAGAAAAGATCCAAAAAGCTTTCCCAACGTACTGGAAAACTATCCTCTCTTCTTGGTGACGATGAGAGTGACGCGGAAGATAGTGAAGACAAGACTAGCGACGGCGGAACAAGGAAGACAGAAAAGGTAAAAACACCGATAGCTCGCGTCACGGAGGCTTCTCTTATCATACAGGCTAAAACGTCAATAATGCCAGGCGTTGTACAGTGAATGAATAACATCTCTAAGTCGTTCTTTTAAGGATCCAAAGGAAGACGCTGCCTGCAGTAGTTTTTATTAAGCTGACAGATCTAAGCTCTTGGTATCTAATCTCAAAAAGCATTAAGATAACTCAGTGTAAATGCAATTCTGCGATAGACAGTCTGTGTATCTGTGTAGTAATGATCGGGCATACAGGTACAAGAATAATTTCTTTACTGACGCGATAGACTGTTCACCGCCTCTCTATTTTTCAACGGTCACGAAAGAAAGAGCGAGCGAAGAAAGCACAAAGCACGCGGGATTGGGGCGGGGAGGCGTTCAGTTCCCTTGCGATTCTATTCGAGCATTTAACGATCAAATAAAAATACGAGAAAATAGAGGGCTGTGAACAGTCTGCTGACGCAATGAATAATAACCATTCTCTTCTTCTTCAAAGGAAGGAAAGGTAAAGAAATCGAAGACAGATAAGAAAAGGAAGAGGAAGGTACAGGTAGAAGGTAAAGCAGACGCGATGGACCCGTTGGAATACTACGAAGCAGTCAAACTTCAGAAGAAAAAGAAAAAAGAGGCCAAGGAAGCGACATTTAGGTGAGTGTATTTGCTCTTTAAAGGAACAGTAATGACCGTTGTATTGTAACCAAACGACAAAGCTTCTAATAGACATGTCTTACACCCTTGATTTGACAAATCAAACTCCGAGAAGTTAGGAGTGGAACTGACATGGCAAGTGATAGTTTTTCCGCCCGGTGAATGTTGTCGTGACAACTCCTTCGCGTACATTTCTGAACTTTTGATTGGTCAAGTAAAACAGAAACCATCCAAACAAAGTGTGCTTTTACATTGGTGTACTTCGCCGCAGCTGATTTCCGTTTCGTAAACGGTCGATGCCATCATTGGTAACCAAGCCTTTCAGAATGGACGATGCCATATCTGCTTTAGTATAGGCCTGGACAAGGTAGAAACTGGTTCTAATTTGTTGATTGAGTAAAACGCACTCGTCGAATGGCACTGGTTCGCTTGCGGTTAGCTTTTATTTGATGGTTGGGGCAACTCTATCATTAATATTTAAGAAAGTCACGTTTTATGATTAAATTTTGCGGAGATTTGGCGGATCAAACTGGTAGTGTAGTGGTAGAAGACGGATGTTAGGAAACAGAGGTTTCAGGTTCGATATTGGGTGGCTACTTACAAATTTTCTTTTCTCTTTAATTTCGTAGAGAAAAATTCGTTGATAGTTAAAAATTTTTTACGTGTCGCGAAATTGGCATCGACCGTTTACGAAATGGATAACTGCTTCGCCGTAACATTGTCACTTTACACTATGATAGGTTTTGGTTAAGTTTTGGCCTCGGCTTACAAATGTAAAGTAGCAAAGTTAAATCATATGTGTTTACTCAGAGTTGAAGTTTTAATGAAAATTAAATGACGCTAACTGCAACGAGAGGTTTCGTTTTTTCACGACGCGAATATAAAACAAATAACATAGCGCTCACAATTTGACACAAGTGCGCGCATGGCTTTTACGTTGCAGTTGCACGCTAACCACCTACCCTCGACAACCAGTCATGGTGTCATTTCAATTCTCTGGCGTGGGTGATCTGCATTTGCTAAGAACTGCATTTACGCTTTCCTTGTATGATGTTATTTCATTGCAAGTTGTTTTTTCTTTAACATTGAAGATGCACTTTCGTTTCAGTTTCGCGGAACAGAGGGTTGCGGACGAAGAAGAAACTGGAGACGGAAAAAGAGGGATAACATACGAGGTAAAGAAACCCAGGACTTCAACCAGTTATTTTAATTTCATTCTTTTTTTTTCCTTTTCATGCATGTTTAAACTCCTTCGAATACGTTACATTTTATCGCAGATTTCTCAGAACAAGGGTCTTACGGCCAAGAAGAAGAAAGAACTTCGCAACCCTCGTGTAAAACACAGAAGGAAATTTTACAAGGCTCAGATAAAGCGTAAAAGTCAGGTATAGTTGTTATGAAGTTCAATAATTTTTATAGAATTGAGTATTTTTGGTTCGTGATCATTAATTGTTTATCGTTTTGTAGCCACCACGTTAGTCTTGTGATTCTAGGGCCCGACTGCCCCCACTGTGAGTCTTATGACTTCAAGTTGTTTATCTTAGTTTATCAAGGGTACTTATAAGCTCCGAAAAATACCCCATCGATAGTCATATTTGGGTTTGTCTACTAGCCTTGGTCTGGGTCTCGCACAAAGATCCTGTTTACGTTTCTTGTTCTCTAAACTTTAGCTTCTATTGGTTGTTTCAAAAACTTGGTGCATGGTTCGCTTCTGAAAGTCGCGTGAAAGTGTTTGGGATAGTTTTCTAAAATGAGTTTTAATCCTTGAGGGTTTGTCGTCCCGTTTGCCCACACATAGTTATAACAATAATAATTTACTACTTACATAGCTACCGATATGTTATTTAAATTTTAAGTGCATGTGCATTTGTTAGTCAAGTGGTAGAAGTAGTAGAATTTAGACGAATATTGTGCAAGAGAAATAAAAGACCCAGAGACCAGATTCTGGGTACCTCCTCGTGTTAACAGAAGCAAACCAATATAGTATCAAAACTTCGCCTTTAGGTTTAGCTTGTGAAACTCGGTTTCCGACACCCTTTGTAAGAAAACTTTGAGCTCTGTAATTAGTTTATAACCTAAGGAAGGAACAAATCCTGAAATTAACGGTATTTGCAAGTCTTTATCTACTCTGGAGAAAGGCTATTAATGAGCATATTTGTTGTTGTTGTTGTTGTTGTTTTTGCCGTTTTATCGTTGTTGTCGTTGATGGTGTTGTTTCTTCCCTTGTTTTCGTTGCTGCTGTTTTTATAGACTAGCTTCATAAGTTTCTCATCATTCAACTTGTTACCCTGACAGGTCCTGCCAGTTGTAAACGAGCAAAACCGGTATGGTGGCGAGATGACAGGAATACGGTCGAATCTGACCAGGAGTATCAAAATCAAATAATGGAACACGTCATTCAATTAATACAATGCTGCCTCTCCACGGCGTCTTTATATCCTAGAAACTTTCACATTCACTATGTATCCACATTTGTGTTGACCTGGTGAAAATTTATTCTTACTTTATTTTAAATGGCGTTGTTTCACGCTCTATACAGCTATTCAACCAACGAAAGTTCAATATTTATGCTGTCACGATTTCTGCGCGTGACATGTGTTTCTCCAGGCAGAACAGTGCTGGATGTTGGTGAACTACCCGATTTTTGCAACAACTTTGCTTAGTCGTCATGGCTACGTCCACGCGAACTCCGCCTTTGATTGCTTGGTTTATAAATTAATTCTAATTTAAAAACCAGTCGTGTAAACGGTATTCAACGTTTCATGGTAACTTTTGATCAAATCTGCGCAAGTATAAACTATTTTCAAACATTAAAGTCATGTACGTCTTGTATTAACTTAATGTTTAGGGTTCGTAAACACATTCAAACATTACTCATCCAAGATATACCCATATGACTAGGCTTGAAAAAATATCAATATAATGAAATTTAAATACCTTGGTATTCTCCTCCCCCATTTCCCTCTATTAAAAGAAAAACACCTTTGTGATAAATGCAAAGACAAAATTAAAGTACATGCACTTTTCCATAATTCTGAAAATTCTCTAGCTGATTAAGACACGAACTTTGTTCGGAATTTGCCTGAGGCACTTAGCGACCATCAAACTAGAAGAAGAAAACACAGAAAGCATTGTAGATTCTCCTAGGGCGAAGAACGTTTTGTGCTCGAAGGGAGTTATGCGCTTTCTACCATCTTCGCCCGACCCTTGAAGGCAACTGCACCACGTTGGGTCTCGCAGGGGCCAAAATCGGAGGAGGCGTAATTAAGTCTCTGCGTTTGATCTAGTGTATTCCAGACGAATCAGTTGCTACTTTAACACCTCCGAACAAGCCTGTATAAACCATATGATTATACCGCAATATTTTGGTGCCATGGAAACTGTTGAGGTTGACGGCTATAAACTAGATGCGGGCATTGCCTTTGTCTTTTATAAGTTTTCGTATCTCCTCTTTTACGTAATAGTTATCGCAAAACCAAGATCAGGCTTTACAGTGACACATGAGCCCCGTTCTTCCAGCACCATACTTGTCTTCTCCAGTAACCGTACTGCTGTATATTTACATAATAATATTCAGGACCAAGCAGTGATCAGTAGTGCGAACTCTACCTTACATTTCCGCAAGCTGTAAAATAGCTGTACTTTTATCTCTTTTAAAGACACGGATTCGAAGAAGGGAGCAAACGTTGTATGCCAGAATTTAAAGAAATTGTAGAGGAATGCAGGCGAAAGTTACTAGAAAACTACAAATAAAAAACACAAAGTAGACAAAGCGAAAAGAACAATGGAGAGAAGCATTGGGATTGAAATCTCCCGTGATAATCAGGTGAATTTACGGGACCGTCCCCATTTCTTCATGTGCCCCTCTCTCCGTACATACTTCTCTCAAAAAACGAACAACTTCAGCAAAAAATATATATATATTTATGGAATACATATTGCACGAGCCAAGAAATAATGAGAACGTCTGATCGCGGGTTAGGCAAGTTCGAACTTTCTCGATCCTCTACCATTCGCTATTCCGATTTTGAACCTGAGAGACTTGAAATTGGACATTTTAACAGTGGAAATAAAAAGTGAAAATGGTGATACTGATAAGAAAATATTAAAAAAAAAAACGGTTCAAGAGGTGGGTTTTATATCATGGTAAAACGAAAACGAATGCGAAAATATGTAAAGCTACTTTGATTTTTTGTTTCGTTTCCTCAGAACGACACGGTATTGTTTTGGCTTCAGGGGTGAACTATATTTACACAGTTGCCGATATGATAGCAAGCGAACAGAGTATTAAGTTCCTAATTGGCACTGTGAACATGTTCTAGCTAGACAAACAAATTGGTGAAGCTAAAATTGTTGTTCTCTAAACTGACTGTAACGAATACGAGAAAAGGAAATTAAAATGTATCATGTATCAGTGAAAGTTCTCGATACCGAAGTGATTCTAAAGGAAATGTGGAAAACTTCATAGGTATCAACTTTCCGTGATAAGTTTTAATGCAAACACGGCGGCAAACTGTCGCTAAAATTTCTCCCCCATATTTCCGAACATACTCTAATCACGCCTTCCGGCAACTAATAGAAACCTTTCTTTTTGAAATGCCCGATTTGGGCTGTTTATGTTACAAGCGTGAAGTTTGAGATGAAGTACTTGAGAAATAATGGGGTTGCATTAGGGGTGTTCAACACACGTGGACATCTGTAAATGGCTTTGACTGAAAATGCGGTTATTTGTCACCGGTAATTATCAGGTGGATGAGGTGGTAACAACCATACCACATGGGTACCACCGTTGCTATGACGAGTCAGCGGTTGTATTGGTTAACCCCCGCCCCCTCCCCTTCGCGTGAAGTTTAGATTTCTCTTCCTCAATTCACGGCAACAAGTCAACGACAAGTCATGGCTACGGAAAAGGGCCAAGAACTCGATCTCCAAAAAGTCACCGACGCCTTCAAAGCGTTGCGAAAGAAAGCCAGAGAATTAGGAATCAAAGATTCACAGCTTGCGAAAATAACGGCTGTGAAAAACCTACAGAAGAAACGACCAACCTGTTCTGTTTTGACGAGCATTGTTTTCGGCTTGCTTGGAATCCTTTGTGGATTGGGTCTAATTCTGTATCAACAAGAACTTCTATCACATCGTTCGCTGTTCCAAGCTGCTCAATACATGCTAGACTTCGAAATGGAGAAAGATTTTTGTCTGATACCGTACCCTGAAATTATTTTAGACATGTTTCGCCCGCCCGTGAATTGCAGTATTTGCAAGGATGTCCATCGGGTTGACAAAGTGTCTGGGCTAACGAAAGAGGATTTCGTACGAAGATACGCTTACACATCGCGACCTGTTGTAATCACTGATGGAACTAAAGACTGGACAGCTTCGCAGCACTTTAGTTTTAACTACTTTAAATCAATTTATGGCCCTGAGAGTCCAGTGCTACTGGCAGAGGATCAAAAGTGCCAGTTCTTTCCCTACCAGACAAATTTTAAGTCGCTTCAAGAAGTTTTCAACATGTCGGACAAAGATGCAAATATGCAAGGGAACCCTTGGTATATTGGCTGGTAAGGATGGCTTTTTTTAATTTTTTTTTTTCCCTCGTAGTCATAGAAGATTGAACACGTTCACGGATTTGATTACTAAAAATGACATTTGATATTGTTGACTTTTGTTTAAGCGTGCATGAAATATTAACCTGTTCGTTCGTCGTTGTCAATTATTGAGAAGAGGAACCCCCTTGAGAGTCAGCCAGTTAAACAAACTCTTCATTGCTGTTGAAAATAAATTAGGAGTTGTTTGAAAAGATATATTTAAGAAATAATATTTGAACGGCAGGTCCTGCTGATAAACTAGGAACAACAACTTATCTTCACGTTTGTCTCAGTTTAATTTATGCAAAAACAAGCTAAGCTTAAATTTTTAATTCGTTTTCTCAGTTTTCCTTTTCATCTTATTTCTACTTCTGGTTCCATTTGAACTCATTTATTGTTAATTATTCATTTCCCATCCCGAGATGAATTTTGTAGCGGTTGCCTTCTGATGTGTTCACTGGATGTTGGTTTACAGCCATTACATAATGCCTGTATTTGATCCTCTATGGAAAATGACTAGGGCAAATAAATTAACAATCTGGCATTAAATGAACATCCTGTTGTAAAAACTGGCTTTAACTAAAACACCAGAGTTGGTCAGCTTTTCACAGTTGTCAATACATGTACATGACTGTACAAAAAATATTGGGCAATGCCATCCTAAAACAGCATGGTAAAGTTGACTTGGTTGTGTAAAGTTTGATTCAAAAAATTTTATTGAAAGGGCTTGTACTTGTAAATGTGTAACAAAAGCAACCAAATTAAGAAGAAAGACGGCAAAATTCAGCTATCCAGAATAAAAACAATTTTGAACAGTAAGTGACAAATAGATTCTCAGTAAAACTTGGCTCTAATGTCTTTATACTTCTGCGAATGTGGTTAAGTCCAAGCAACACAATAATAGTAGGGACCTTAAGATACCAGGACGGGAAGGCCAGGACGGCAACAGCAGTGGACGCGGGAAACTTTCGCCAAAAACAAAATGCTTAAGATGTGCATTTTCGCAGAGGATGGCAATGTCAATAATTCGAACCTCGTACAAGCTATTCACAGAAGCAATGACATCCATTACACTATAAAAGAGATGGTAGAAATCTTATCNTGTATTTTATTTGCTCGATAGATGCTCCATGGCATTCATTCTTACAACATTTTATCGACTGTACTTACACTGATGTACTCTCAATGCATACAGTTTGTAGTGAGCTTGCACACTCATGATAGCATCTGAACAGTGACTGCAGAAATGCAAATGAACAGACGAGGAACATTTTTATTCACATTTTCGTATCTCAGCGCAGTATTCTACACTACAATCACGAAAACTGTGAACGTTATAAACATTCCTATCAATATAACTGAAAATAAAGTCGATTGGAACAGTTATCAGGGCAAAACAAGTTCAAAATACTCACGTTTTCGATATGACGGCTAGTCGGGCGAAATGGTGTCCTCGAGGAGATGAGGATGGCAGAGAGATGAGCCGAGAGTTCTCATGCACATGCCCGGTTGAGTTAATTTACTTCCAGCAGCCGTCCTAGCTTGTCCCATCCTGGTATCTTAAGGTGCCTATTGTCTAGTTACCAAGTAAGCTCTCAATATGACTTGCACGAGGCTTAAAATTTTCAGAAAGGCTGTACAGTTCTTTCAGATCTTTCTTCTTGGCGAGTATTTAATGGCAGAAGACAATTTCCAATTTTGTTTTTTTCAATGTCACCATATTGAGTTTGACATAAATCAATGCCTAGCCATATCAATCAAAGAGGCGTTGTAAATAAAGGATTCATTACTTGGTGTAAAGAACACAAGTCATTTCCTGCAGAACTCAGCTGGCGATTGCAAGCAGAAAGTTAGCCTTATCTTGCATGCTCCAGTGGCCAATCACAGCGCTTGATGTAGTTCATTTTGCCTTCTCAAGGAACTAAAATTAGTTACCATATATATACATGTATATTAACAAAATGTAAAGTGGAGGCAACATGTCCAGGTGGTTTAGGCAGGGCTTCTGATAAGGTCGCTGGAAAAAAAGTCAAATTTCAAGGGATTATCAGAGACAAATTCGTGGAAAAAATGGCCAATTTCATGGAATTTTGGGGGCAAATTTTGCTGAATAACCATCAGTAAAAAACTGCCAAATTCATGGGAATTTTCTGGGCTAATTTTGCTGGAAAGTTATCGATTTTGCACAGATTTGACAAACATTTTTAACAAAAAAAGACGGCAATTTTGCCATTTGTTTTTTTTGGAAAATGATGAACATTAGGATATGCAATAACAACAGCAACAGAAACACAGACTACTTATAAATGTTGCCTTTCTAAAACCAGCAATTTTGCAAGAAAATTTGAGCAACTCGTTTAGATTATCGTATGTGTTTGCTATAATTGTTTGACCACAAGGTTCTTTTTAAAAGATCGATTATCATTTGCTCTTTTAACAACAATGCGCTCAAGAAAGGCACCAATGGCAAAGCTTTTGACATCGTGGCCACTGCCCAGTTTTTTGCAACATTAATCAGATCTAAGAATGCCTGGTAGTTTTAGAATGTTGTTTATTCATTGCAGTGACGAAGTTTAAGATAAATTTGCCGGTTTACGGCAAGTAAACAGCCCCAACAGCCAAGATAAGTTTCAAATATGTTGTACTGACATGTATTTGGTAAGATTTCTGACAAATTTTGCGGTATTTTGTGTGTTTTAGTGAATCTTGCGGGATTTCGCAGATTTACTTGAAATTCGTGACTCCTGTTTAGGGCACTGGATTTGAAATCTGGAGGTCTCTGATTCAAATCGTACTCCCTACTGCTATCTGGACTTGTTCTCAGTAGTCCTGAGTTCAACTCCTCTGCCACTTTGTGTAAATGGCCAGCTGGTTTGCCTCCCACTATGTGGGATTCTTAATAGTTCATGTTCTATTGGCAATATTTGTTTACTTAAAATTACATTGTCCTCAATAACTAATGACTTTAACCCAGGGGAAAAGTCAGACAGAAAGTGAAATGAGAACAAGATATATAACCCATGATCTGTGATGTCATCACACTAAAAAATGTAATCATCTGAAGAACTCTAGAGGAAGCTCCTTCTCCTTTCCCCCTGCCACCCTCCCCTGTCCCCCCAAAAGAGCATTCCTACCCCAACTCCTGCAATATCTTTTGGCAGTCTCAAACTCACTGTGTGTGTAATAAATTCGAGTTCAAGGAATACAGTGTAGCTCTGTTTTAATTGCTTTTAATTTACTTTAACATGTTTTTACCTCCAGGAGCAACTGTGATTCATCTGCAGCTAATGAACTTCGGAAACATTACAAAATGCCTTACTTTTTGCCGGAGACCTCAGAATCAAGCAAGACAGACTGGTTGTTTATGGGATGCCCAGGTTATGGTGCTCATTTACATGTAAGTAATCTTATGTCAAGTTGTTTACTGAGCCAATGCATCCTATTGTACTATGTGTATTTTAAAACACTAAAAAGTCACCCAAGGGGAATTGTAAAACCTCTTGGGCAGAAGGTACAGTCCCATTGTCTCTGGTACATGAATGTCAACATAACTGTTTATCGCTTCTTTATTTCCTTATGGCTTATATGTATATCCTAATGTAGTTACCGGTGTGTACTCTCGAGTATAAGATCATTTCATTGAATATTTCCAGATGACTAAAACTAGGGAGATTCCTTATAAGCACATTGAGCAGTATCTTTTTACCAAAAATTGTTCAGAGGATATTTTCCCCTATGGTAAGAAAATGTGCTTGGGGGACTGTGCAATAGACTAATGCATTAATTGCAATATTAATATTGATACTTGGAAATCTTCTAAGGAAACATCTTAAAACTCAATTGATTACAAAAATTAATGAAAGGAAACTACGATGTTTCGAAGTCATCTTGACTCAGTCAAGATCAGTCACAGTGTTAATTTTATAGTGTGAAAGGTCTCAAAATATATGAAAGTGAATCACTGCATAATAAAATGTATTTACATTTTCTCAGTGCTGTTTTATTCCGGTCTGCAGATTGACAATGTAGGGAACCCATCTTGGCAGGCCCAAATCAAGGGTACCAAAAAGTGGACACTGGAGCCCCCTCCAGAATGTGCCCTTGTTTGTGACCCAAAACTTGAAGTGACGGTCCAATCAGGGGAGATAAGTATGTTATTTGGCCATGTTATTGATTTGTTTAAAGGAATTAAACCTCAGTTTGTGGTCTGAGATCTGAGCATGAAGAATTGCTCCTGAGATGGCAAAGAAAGGAATCAAACTGCAGGGAAACGATTTACAACTGCTTAAGTTTACCTAACTAATGCCATGCACTTTTAGTTTTTAAAATGTGATCATGATTTTCTCTGCTATTTTAGCAACATTTTTAATCAAGGGTAGTGTACAGGATTTTAATGTGGTGGATTTTTCTGATTGCAGTTGTTCTGGACACAAACAAGTGGTTCCATCAGACAGACATTTTGGGCAAGGAACTGAGCATCACAATTGGCTCAGAATATGACTAACACCTTTCAAAATAACTTCCTTGTATTAAAGTTCTTAAATTAGTGCTCCTCACTAGTGGCAAAAATGCAAAATACCATTGTACATGTACATTTAGTAGCAAAAGAAAGAAATATCTTAAAAATGTCCACAGCAAACGTGTCATATAGACTATACAATCACATAAAAAGAAGTCAAATATTATGTACACTATTTTCCAGCCATATTGATCTACCATGTTGCAAAGTGTTTTTGAAAGTTGGTTGCTGTTACCAATTAATGTCAGACAACAAACAATGAATCTATTTTCTCCTCAGCCCCATGAATGCTGAAATACAACATAACCCCGTTCACTTCTGTAAAAGACCCAACAATCTCCTAGGTTGTCCTTTCTTGCCCAGACAATGACCTTTACTCAGAACGTTAGCTTCTTAATGAGCTATATCGTTCTGATATTTTGTTACTTTACGAGATGTATACATCCATTGTAAGGAGGATTCATGCAAAATAATTTAGATGGTGCAGGTTTTAATATTGGTTTGATAGTGTTGTGATAGTAACACTAATAGCTAATAGCTGTTGCAGTGTTTGTACGATTAATTATCGTGCAATAGTACTGTTTAAAATTCGATAATCTCACGTAATCAAGGGTAGGGTTTAGAGATCAACACTCAGTTGGGCTATTTTTTTGGTCAAGGTTTTAGTTCGTAAATTTAACAATGCTCCAAATGGTAATTAATCAGGTTACTTGTAATGCAGAACAGAAAACGTATATTTTAATTATAAAGCTACTATAAATTATTAGACGTCTGAATTTTTGAACAAGTAATATAAGATATTTAAAGTAAATAAAAACTACATGTAATGTAGCCACCTGGAGAATTATTAGGAGCAAGTAATTGGTTGAAAGTTTGTTTTACTTACTAGTAAAGTATATGTATAGTGGTTCAAAATGTTTGTTCAAGGCCCTTGTGCTTACTTACAATTACCCCTAGTGTGTATCTAGATATTTGACTAGTTACCTACAATTAACTCACAGGTTATTTTAGGTATTTTTGTAGCTATGTCAGAAGCTTGTCCCATATAAAATGGTCTTAAGACGTATAGTTGACGTCATTTAGCCCTCTCATTACTTCAGACAATATAGTTGCAAAATACTACTTCAATCAATGGGTCCTTTATTACGCAAATTACATACATATATGCAGTTGAACAGCGTGTATTCTATTGACAACTTTTTACTGATGTTAACTAAACGGTTTTCAGTTCAGTGAACCCATAATACTTAACGGGCTACAAAATCAACTATAGTACGACGATTATGCTTTTTGTTGTATACTTGTTGGTTCTTTGAAGTCACAAATCTATCAATAATAGTTGCACTAACAACAAACGTTTCTCAGTTGCCACTGATGCCCTATGTTGTTAATACGTCTCCATTATCAAGTAGTATGACGTGGATTCGTTCATCTAAGGTAGGCAGTTTTGCCTTCCAACTCTCGTGTCTTATTAGGCGTGAGTATCGAATTCTACGATCATACGCCTTGCTGAAGAATTTGAGTTGTTTAACTCTTGACTGAAACAGTTTCACAAAAAAAAATCTAAACTTGAACCAATAAAATAAAAGAAGAGTTCGGGTAAATGATGGCACGTTTTAGCTAAGTCTCCGACTTGCTGGGAAATGTTTGAGAAACCCATCTTGAGGGCCCAGCGAAGGTTCGAAACGTCTTCGGATATGTTCGGCTCGTCCTCAAAAATCCTGGCTTTCCGAGGATAAAATTCTTATCCTATGACTAAGAAAACAGTTGGCGGCTAGAAATTATGCTTAACATTGTGCTTAAAGGGTTTAAAATTATAACACTAAAGTCGATAAATTTTACTTTCTCCCAAAAAATTGACCTTATTGGTGCTCAACACGGTTAACTATTTATACCTTACATCAGAAGCAGTGCAATTCCGATTCAAAGCCGTGTCAGAAATAACTAGATATGGCATTGAATTCCGTTCAATAACTGATGCACATCACAATGTCCTGAGGCTACCCACAAATACCACTTAAAGTGGCCTAAATGTCTTCCCGGAAATAATAATCAAGAATTTTTCAATTGTCTCAAAAAGCTTTCTATAAAATACACACTTTTTTTTATAAGAACCTTTTCTATAAGAACGTTGTGACTGAGATCAACCAAATTTTAAGAACGTGTTACGAACATTCCTCACGCTGAGAGTGGATTAAGGACGTCTATATTTTGCTAATCTGTATATTAAATGGCAAGCATGTAATAAAGGTAAAAAATGTAAATTAACCAAGTACTTAAGGGCATGTTTCGTATAACATTAACAACGGTTTTATTATTGCATGACACACATCAGTCGGTTTGTAATAATCAGCAGTTCTTATTCATAACTGTTCCAAAATAATTTCCACACCATCAAAGCCATCTGGTCACCAGGGCCGTAGCCAGAAACAAATTATGACTGAGGCAGTGTCCAAGAAATGAGTTGTGACTGAGGCAATGTCCATGGTTTAATTCTCTTCCTGGGAATTTAGGGTGTTTTTAATGACTAAAAACAACAAAAACGGAAAAAAAATGACTGAGGCGAGTGCCTCGGTTTGCCTGTTACTAGCTACGGCCCTAGTCACGTCCGCATTGATTTATTGAAACACTGTATACCATGTAAATTTAAGAACATCTTAATTAAGAACGTTTTCAGACTAAAATCGCAAAAACTCTAAGAACGTTCAGCCTCAGCTCCAAAATTAGACGTTCTTAATTATTAAAAAAAGAGCCGCGTATCCATAAAAACCCTCTAAGTATATAATACGTTGAATAAGTTTAGTGAACTGAAGGAATACCTTTTACATCACTATTGTGGATATAAGGACACCAGAAAAAGTAGAACAACATTCAAGCCACTGCTGTACGAAGTTCTCAGCGTCCTCCATTTTGGAAAACGAGATACATTTTTCAGATGGGAAATTAGTTAAGTGCTGGCGATGAAATGAGTCTCAAATTTTCTTGAACATCATTGGAAAACACAAAGGTCGGGGGGGGGGGGAACCTTACCACTTTTTTTCTAAATGTTCCGGGAAGTCCTGAACTGCAATATTAGAAAAATATCCGGATATTTGTGGTTAGGCCTACCATCTAGAGGCGAGGCATAAATTTTAAACAGACACAGTTCAAGTGTAAAAACCTACAACCTATTGCCCTATATAGTATTGCATATATGTAAAGGAATGATACGCTGTCGAAAAACATGCACGCAGTGTTGGCCAAGTCTCAGAGCTGTGACTGTAGCTCAGGCTCCGCTGGGACGGGCTGGGTGAACGAGCCAACCACTTGTTGCTGCTCAGTGATAACAGCTTGCTCCTCTGCCTTTTGTGTACCAATCATCTTGTAGAGCGATCGAACGTCGTCCAGGAAACAAAGGCAGGCATAAAAACCAAAAATCTGACGAGAAGAACAGGCGTTGTTTATTAGGTACTGTCGATCTGAACAGGACAGGTCAGGTGAAAACCTGAGATAGGACTAAGCGGTGGAAGAGGGCTCGGTCCAAACAATTAAATGGTTTACATCCAGTTCTTTCAAGACTAAGTGAACTTGCAGTAACAGCAGAGGTCAGTGGAGAGCAACTCAGTAGAAGAATTGTTTTTCGATCACGTAGACTACCTCCAGCGGGGAATTCGAAATGCATTAACGTAGCGCCATCGTCCTACCATTTTAATTATATATTACGAATAGAAATGCTTGGTCTTTCCGACCTGCGCGAGTTTTCCAAAGGTCCCGAGTTTATAGTTTGAATGAGTGAGCTTCTGCAGATTCCCATTCTTGTATCTGGTTCGGTTTGCTTCATTTAGCTAATATAAATGATAATTGTTTCCCACCACCAATGCGCCTTTACGAATGCACAGACCGTATACTTCTCCGGTGGCGTGAAAAAAAACCTACGAACCTGTTTAAGAAATGCGAAATTTGTTATGTATTGTTTAAATGGAAATCAAGCAGCGTTACAATAAATTCTCTATTATTCACGGGGTCATAGCGATTCGCAGCTGAAATTTCTATCAGTATCTGACAATAATAATAGAGGACTTCAGAGATTAGACTCATCTCTAGATTGAAGGTCGGCACACACGAGGGGACTGGTCCCTGCAACTAGTCCCCGGAAGAGTTTACACGTAGGGAATGGTCGTAGGGACTTGTCTCACGAACAGTTCACACAAAGCGTCTCCAGGAACAAGTCGCAGGGACTTGTACCAAAAATTCGAACCAGTTTGAATTCGTGGGACTAGTTGCAGGGACCGAATTTAGTCCTCGCGACTAGATTTTATGGCAAAAATGGCTGGTTCACACGATGGGACTTGTCCCCGCGACTTGTTGCAGGGACTAGAGGCAGGGACCAGTTCCCTCGTGTGTGCCGACCTTAAGAGCAACTAGGGTCCAATTTCTTTATTCAATCTGACGAAGCAAGCAATGATTTAAAAGTTTTTAAATTACCAGTGCCAGATAGAGGGTAATAAGGGTTGTTTTTCCTCTCTCGGTCAGGAAATCGTACAACTTGGTGTTGTCGTGTGCCAGGGGCACCAGATTTACCGTGCAAGCGATCAGCAAGATGGTCAATATGACCTGCACCACAAAACACTGCAAAAAACCAAAAGGAAGATATTTAGCAAACAAAGTTACGCAAACTGGGCAAGCGAGGGTATTATCTCGCTTTCCGTTACTCTGAGAGGTCCTAAATTAATGGCGCAGAGACGATATATATGGGGAAGACATTTGTTAACAAGTATACAAACAATATTTTGTTCTTGAAATTTAGCAACCAATTAAACAAAAGAATTCTCGTTTATTAGCTCAGTAGTGACATTGACCATGGGTGACTTCACTGATAACATTGTTATTCTGATGGTTTGCTGTCAATGCGCAGAGATGCAGAAAGTCACAAGTAAACCAAGTTGGTTTACATTTAAACCGAATGCAATGGGCTGTTCATTTTCGTTTTCGTCTTCATTTACCTTCTACAGCCAGGTAAATGTAACTGGGTTATTCTTTTCAATTATATATATACATATATATATATTTTTTTTTTTCTATGTTAAGTTGTAAAGAAAATTTGTGCATTCATGTGAGACATGCAATGCATACTTACGATAATTGTAAAGTGCCTGGGTTTTGAGAAGTAACGTTGGGTAATACTGGAGAAGAAAGCAAATGCTATTTGAAACACGATAACCATCACCCAGCAAAACACTGTGATTCCCTTGAAGAAGTTGGCTTTTCCGTCTGTTATAATCATTCGGTCGGAATAACTGGCGATACAGATCCAAGTGGCTAGCAGGATTAACTATACATTGACAGAAAGAATATTCTTGTAAGAAATTTACCCCAGTACGTCAGTAAAAGCTGCACCTTAAGTAGTGTTTGGCAACAATCCCTGTGCATGAGATTGCTCCTAGCCTAGCTGGCTGTGAACGCCTCTTGGCAGCTCTTGGAGTACCTCGTTACTCCAAGATAGCCTGCAGGTTACTCCAGTCCTTACAAAAGCTAAGATCTCTTATCGTGCTTATCTGTGAATTATCCAAAACCCTTAATCATGTTTTCTAGTTCTCATTTTATGTTCTGTGTTAATCAGTATACCCTGAGCAACAGTGAACATGAACCAATTGGCAAAACACGCAGAAGCATAAAGCGTCGCCCAAAACTTAAAGTCGTGTAGGTGTGTAAGTTTTACTCCCCATAGAAATGTGATTTACTATCGGCTGTTTATGTGTTAATCTAAAGGAAACCGGCTCGAATATCGAAGCCGATGGGAGATGGATCACTTATTTGTTCTTTATTTTCAGGTTTAGTCATACATGTATATGTTTATTTAATTAATTGGCAAAGGATTTCCAGGTTTACTCACAAACTCAACCAGTTTATCAGCAATAAAAGAACTTTTCCAGTAAGCAGTAGTGAGGGGTGTGGTCGGCCTTCTTTGATTTGGACGCTGACCAGCCCGAGCCTGTTGTACAACTACTTGAATCGGTTGTCCAGGTTGAGCATAGTATTGCCCAGGCTGTACCTGTGGTGTCGAGAACGGTTGACCTGGAGGGGCCTGGGTGTAAGCAGGCTGGAATTGGCCCGGAGAAGTCTGCGGGAATCCTGAGGTATGGCTCATGTTAAGAAAAGCTGGAGTTTATCTGTGCAAGTGAGCAAGTCAATGGATAATAATTGTAAACTATTTAAGGCGAGAGAATGGCTCCTGTATCCGAGTATAAACGAATGTAAGAATGCAAAGCACACACGGCAATAAAATATGTTCATGTTCAGTTTGGGAAACCTTTGACGAGGACTGCATCGCTAACGAAGAGGAAATCAAAATTGCACAGGAATTGAAATCTTAGTTGTTCAATTAATTCAGCAGCTCAGAATTGTTACGTTTAAAAATTGCCATACTTTAGTAATCCTCATCAAACCTGAGTAGCACATAAGAACCCAACAGGTATGACACGCATTCAGTAAGAGCCACTCGCAATTGTTCCCTTGTCCCATGATGGATTGTTAGGGGTATCGAATGGTCTTCGCGAGTATTTGCGAGCATGAGAGCAGTGCGTTTATATTTGCGAGCACGAGCAGTGATCAAATTTGACTTGCGAGCAGCGAGCACTTTAGAAAATACCTGATGGCGTGCAGCGAGCACTTCGGAAATTTAACACACCCAACCGGACAAATAACACACGCAAACGATAATAATTTTATTGCCAAAACCTACTTCACTTGAATTACGTGGTTTATCCTTTCCACTGAAATCGTTTCAATTTTTGAGCTCAATTTAAATCCCAGACATGCAGTTATTTTTCTTTAGTTTGGGATTAATGTGACAGCAAAACTATACTATTTGATTTCTACCTTCGCGGGTGCCTTTCGCGGAGAATTCGAGGAAGCATGCATCCAGAAACAGTAATAGCGCCGCGTGCATGTTTCCCCAACATTTCCCAGTTTTCCGGCGTCAATTTATGTTTCCAAGATGCAAATATATGCTTCCGCTATGCTACGGAGAATTTTAACGAGAATCCGAACATCCGAGCAGTGGCAAAAATTTTGTGAGCACGAGCAAGCGAGCACTCATCTAATTCTTGCGAGCAATTCGTGCAAAGGCCAAATTTTGCGAGCACTTTTAAATTGAATGGCCCCTACTGATAACACGCCGCACTGGAGTGACTTCATTAATCGTCAGTTGAGTCATTTTTAAGGCACTGGATAGGTTTCACCTCCCTACCTTCTCCTTTTAGTAGGTAAAATGAATTGGGCCATTCTTGTTCATCCCCAAATATTTGGTATTCGACGGTGTTTTATGATCAATTCAGTCAAATTATCAGGAAATTATCTACTGTTCCTCGGCACTCGGAAATTAAAGATCTCCCAAGGTTCCACAAGAGTAAAAGCAGCCAATAACAAATATAGAATACATTTTCAGTGTTCTGCAGCAACTGTAAATATGGCTTTGGCAAAGGCATTTTCTCGGAAACTGGTGTAGTAAACAAACATTCAAATATCGAATAGCAGCACTAAACTAAAAGAATTAGGCTATGGTATGTTGCAGCAAGCTGTAAATTTCCCTCCAAATTCCATCAGTACAACACTCGAATTGAAAACGAAAGTGAAACTAATTTTCCAATCACTAGCTAATTAGTCTTTGGGCTGTATTCACCTACGAAGAAATTAGGGTGGGAAATGGATTCTCAGCTGTCTGCCTCTCTCGTCACTTGAATCCAATTGCGCCGCGAGAGGGCATACTGTTCAAAATCTGTATACTGCCCAGAATTTTACACAGCTGTGTGTGATTGCACATACCCCGGCCACGCGTAATAGTCAGTACTTTACCCTATTCTCTTACAATCACAATGAAGAGTGTTCATTCCCTTACCTTCGATGTCTCGTCAGTGGATGAGAATGAATTATCCACACGTGAGAAAACCTTTCAAAGACTGTGTTTTAACGAGTAAAAAACACCGTGCTCTCAGGGAAAACGAGTGATTTAAAAGAATATATGTTCTTGATTAGGTTTGCCTTGCCAAGCGCACTAACCAAAGACGTTCTGGCCTCACTAAGGACTCAAAGAACCTCAGTTGTTTTCTCGGAAAAGCAGGAAAACATTTATATATGAAAATATGTTAATTTAATCGCGCCAAATCCTTCTCAGAAAAATAGGTCCGCTGTGCGTGCATTGAGAACTCACTCTGAGATCACGCGTACCACATGGATGCATGTGATAAAGTAAATCACTGATCGTTTGGTAACTCTAGAATTTAACAGAGCTTCTAGATTTCACGCGGAATTCATTCTGAAAGTACCACTTCTTCACATGAGTTTCGGGGCTGTATCAAAACGAAACAGAGCTTAAGGTGGTTCAAAACACTTTCTAGCACTTAGATTTTGATGGGTCGTTATTACCACTCTTTATCACTTGATGCTAATTTGATGGGATCAAAAAACTGCCCAGTCATTGGTTAACACGTTGATATCATTTTCGTGACACAATAGGTTGCCATAGCAACAGCATGACCTGCTAAAAACACCCTTGATTACTGCTTTATAGGCTTATAATTAAAAAGAAAAACCTAGTGAAATTTTTTTATATTATCAAATTTTTATAAGCATGATAAGACGCAACTTTTGGCAAAATTTAAAAAAATTCTGTACATAGCTTTCAGAGCCACCTTAGATAATAATTGGGCAGTTTTTTGATACCATGATTGTAGTATCAAGTGATAAAGAGTGGTAATAATGAGCTATTAAAATCTAACTGCTGGAAACTGCTTTGAGCCACCTTGATCTACAAAGTAACTCGGTGTAACGTACAGTACCAAAGAATATAATGCTACTATTTGGCGGCCAGGTATTTTAAAAAGTCATTTTCTCGACGTTTACTAAATTCTCCCATGAAGCTTGGTACAAAACGCATGTATGAACTTGTATCCGAAACGATTTTGAAAATAGCGCTATCACAGACAATTCATATAGTTTCTAATCTTTTCAATTTGTGTTCGGTTGCCTAACGCATTCGGACTCCTATGAGCGGGTAAATCATTTGTGGACCAGGGTCTCAGCAAGCATTAAATTTGGAAACCTTTAATAATCGTTCCGACGCTATCCGTAACTATTATAATTAAGAGTTGGACACTTCGACGCGAGTGCAAGTCCCTGCTTAGTACGAGAACTGAGATCGACTGATTAATCAGTTATAAATTTACCATATACCTCAGATTTTTAGCACAAAAGAGAACCCTCGATTGCGTAATATAATTTCCGTCTAGAGATATCATTTGAATAAAATCAAACTCGTCTTTGTCTGTTAACTCGGTAGTGAAACAATGATTATTGCGGCTAAATAAATACTGACAGAACAACAAAAACAACTTGTGGCCACTTGTAAATTATTTTTATTGAAGAATTAAAACATCATAAAAAACGAAGATGTGCTACAAATTAGTGTGTACACACCTCAAATTTTGCAGTGGTAGCAATACTAAATCACATGCAGTCCAGATTGTTTCTAACTAGAGATCATCCTTTTACTTATCCGTTTTTATTGATTATAATACTAATCACTCAAAGCTGAATATATCTTGTCACTGGTTATGAGTGTTTATGGTTTACCTCTGTATACTCGTAAACTGACTAATTAAACGCAAACAGAAACTGTAGAGTCTGTAAATGACTATCAAACGAGCGAAACTTAACTGAGAAATGATATTTTTCAGTTAAGTTTCGCTCGTTTGATATTTTATTACATGATCCTAATTTAGGCTTCTTCATAGCTGTCTTTACTTGTTTCGAGTTAAGTTAATGCAGATATTAACCTACATAACTTTAAGTAGAAGTATCTTGCTACACACAACACAATGCTTTACACTCATCTATCGCAAACAGTGTCACTATTGAGTGTGCGCAGGCTGTGATGGAAACTGAGCCCGCGCGCCAACCTGTTGCTGAGGATGTGTCCCAGCTGGTTGCTGCGCAACGCCCGCAGCAACAGCTATTTCCTTTGATCTTTGTGCAGCGTACATTTCCGACAAGAGCCGAATGTCGTCCAGAAAAGCCACGCACGACATTATGCCAAATATCTGTTAAAAGAAAGCGAGGAGAATTGTAAGATTGTTCTTTTTCTTACCTCATTCTCGTCCCTAGAGCCTCCGTTTCTTTTTTTCACGTGGTCGCCAAAACGGGTGTTTTAAAACGAGAAGCACTGGGGGCGAGAGTGCTTTTTACCTCAGCTTCACTGGTGTTCCCTTTCAAGACGTCACGTCCAGTCGGAGAGGGCTGTTAGCCCAAGAAATGGTTATTTTTGTCTCATTCCCGTAACTTCCCTAAATTAAATCAGAGTCTTGTTCGATCAAATGATCAAAACAAAACTTAAAAGCTGGCTCAAGACTGACCCCTTCTGCCCCCCTTCGTTAGCCGCCCCTACTAATCTATGAAAACACTATTTTCCCTGAGAGGTCTTCAAGGAAGATCAGGGGAGACGGGCTTACAGTGTTTTTCCCTTTCCTTAATCTCTGCATGCTTTATCTCTATCGCACCGTTCAAGAAAATGATAAAAACAGGGAAGAAAGAGAACAGGCTTCCGATAGTGATAGGGCGAGAACTATCGGCCAGCGATGCGAGTTGAGGGTCGAGTAAATCAAGCTGGGCGTGGCCTGTGCCTACCATGCCTACTCCACGTGCTTTCCTCCTAGACCGCTCTTGAGTCCCTATGCTGGCCCGAAACCACGCTAGGCTCGCCCCAGTCGAAAGAGCGCTGAATACAAGCCGCACATGCCACATGATTGAAATACATTACTTTCCTGACCAGAGACTAAGTAAATTTTAAACTCGCTTACCGTGGCAGCATAAATCAAGGCCACGGTCGATCCAGGGAGTGTGAAACCGCCGATGGAATCGCGGTAAAACTTATGCAAATCGACAACACGAGTTGTAAAGCTCACCGTACATGTTATGAGTAGAATCGTCAACACGACTTGGATTCCTAATGACTGAAAAAAAACAAGATCATATCGCAAAAGAAGGATTGACGAAATGACAGCACTGAGCACAGCTTTCATTTCTCGGACACAAAATCTGGTGCTGACAACTCTATCTATTTTAAAGAACCCACGAAATCAATACAACAAAAAAATTCATTTTCCTGTCTAATAAACCGGCAGAAACAGAGTTCCTTTTGAATGTTGCTCACAAGCCGGGACAAAACCATACAACAGACAGTTGGAGGAGAGCGAGCCCGGCTTTTTTCAAAGAGACTCACGAACTGTTTTGATAATGGACATCAAAAGAAAAGGGGACTTGATGCAGCCTATATGGATAAGAGTTAATGTGGTTAGCGTTTAAAACAAGCATAACCCTTAGATCTCTTAGTTGTTACAATACGTCAGCTAACCAAATAAATGCCGTGCACAACTTATGTTTCATTGGTTCTATTTTTTGCCTCGTATCTCATATGCAAGTCATTTGTTGTTGTTGTTGTTTTTTTATTCTGTAACTCATTTATTGGCCAGTTTTATAATAAAGACGCATTATCCGTCTGGACGAACTTGGGTAAACATTTGTAGTTCGTCTGGTTATGCGTCTCTAGTACAAAGACGGGCACAAGACGTGTTATGCGTCTAGACGAACTATCTCTCCTAGTTCGTCGTTCAAGACGAATTTCGAAGTATAGTTCGTCTAGACGCATAATACGTCTTGTGCCCGTCTTTATACTAGAGACGCATAACCAGACGAACCCCAAATGTTTGCCTAAGTTCGTCCAGACGGATAATTCGTCTTTAGTATAAAAACGGTAAGGAGGCATTATCCTCCTGAGCGGATAATGCGTCCTCTAGTATAAAAACGGCCATTGATTTAGTTGCGTGTGCGTTTTTAATACTGTCCGCTCTCGTCTCGAACCCTTGCCGACTGAGCAATAACTTTCTGAGAATTCACAAGCTAGACATTGATACTTACAACCAATGTGAAGTATGAAGGCTGTCGAAAATAATTCTTGTTTTTGTTGATGCTAAACATAAACACGATTTGGAAGAGTATGACCATCACCCAAGAAAATATGGTGATTCCCTTGAAGAAGTTAACTCTGCCATCCAAGCTGAGCGCTCCGCCTGAGTACACTATAGCACAGGGCCAGGCTATTGACAGGAAGACCTGTGAATGAGAAATAAGAGTTCAAATAATCATCATTTAGGTCATATGATGCCATGATTGATGCGTGATACATCGCATTAAATGTAAAGATCGATAAACACGTTTGGATGCTTTAAATGCCATATAACTCCTCAGGCTCCCCTCCGGGACCAGGCTTAAAATACGGCTGATATAGTAATCAACAGATTAAAGTCATAAGAATCGTACGGGTGATGTGCATTTTTTGGCTGTTTTTTTGTTTTTTGTTTTTGTTTTTGTTTTTGTTTTTGTTTTTGTTTTTGGTTTTTTTTGTAACAAGCCACCCATCATGGTCCCCCTCGCGATTCACAGCTGTACTTACAAACTCGATAATCCTCGAGAAAAATAAAGCACTCTTCAAGTACTTCATATCAATCTTTATCGTTGTTACATCCTCTTCTTGACTCTCCGGAGGTTGAGCAGGCGCGCCCTGAATATGAACGGGTTGTCCCGGCTGTCCAGCAGCTACATAGTACTGCAAAGGTTGCCCCTGTTGCCCCATGGCGGGCTGGCCAGTAAACACCGGTTGTGGCTGACCAGGAGACATCTGGTACATGACTGGCTGCGGGGGAGGGCCATGGCCTTGTGGACTATCAACAGCGGGTTGTTGACTGAGAAAAGTCTGAACACCTGTTTGTTGGGCTGGTTGCTGATACATCGTTCAATGATCCAATCTTAATGTGTTCATCAAACAAAGAAATTGTGAGTCACCTCAACCAGAGAGGCCACAAGTAGTTATAAGAACTGACACCCAGTTATTGAACTGGATAATGCATAGATCTTTGTGACTTACAGAAGGCATTTAATTAGGAACATTTACAAACTTTAATATGAATTAATGGCCGGTACATTTTTCTTCATCTTACACTGGACAACTGACCAGGTGCTGTTACTCAGAACTGGCCGAAATGCAGGTCGTCCACCAGTTGTGTCATTCGTGGTTGCAGGGTAGTCACTTTCAAAATAATTTGATACCTTTGTTGTGGAAAATCAGCTAGATGTGTTTAAATTGATTCATGAAATGTGGCTTGTTTGTGAATATAAACTTCTAAACATCATGAATTAAAGACTTTAAAAGATTACTTGAAGGAATGCAGATGACAAACTCAGTGTCCACATGAACAGATTTTCTAAGTTTTTCTTAGAAAAGTGTGTTTATTTCAGTGGACTTGCAATGATAACAAAGCTGATGTTATTCAGCTATACTCCTTTCTTTTCGTCCTTGTATAAAATTGACACAAATCAACAGGGCTAAATAGCCAGTAGCAATAACTCAAAATCTATACTCACTACACTGACCGCGGAATTCGGAGCAAGCGAAAATCAGTGAAAGATGTAACCCACATTGCAAAATTCAAGGTTTCTGTCAAACAATAGCAGTTGTGAGCAGTTGACCTCAAACAATCTCACTTAAATTTGTGTTTAGCAAGAAAGCTTTCATTTACCGAGAAACTGAAACGTTTGTGATTAAGAGAATTATGCCTCAATTCGTTTTCTGGGATAATTTTTAAAGCAACAGTCGGTTACAATTTCTTCTAAGAATTTCTGGCCTGTACTTAAGAAATATGACTCCGTAGCACGCTAGCTAACTTTATCCACAGTTTTCTTGGAAAACCAAAAGGACAATTGCACATTTCACAATATTCGATCCGACGCAAATATGTTTGCAATAAACCTGCTTATTCCATGATCTCTAGAATTTATCATCGAAATTGAATTCAGTCCCGCATTTTAGCTCTTTATCTCAAGCAACACACATGTTCCCCTCACCGAACCCATGATCGACATGCAATTCTTTCATATCAAACTTTAGCTTAGAGAATACGATTAAATATGAAAACACTTTCCCTAGGGTTATCCACCCTGTAATTTCGTTCCATTAGCTTTTTGAAGTTTCATTCGAAACGTTTTGGAAATAGTCGCGTGTATTGTAAGGCCTTCCCTATGATTCATCAGAAGAGAAAATATCGGAAAAGTACTGAGTTAAGAACTTTTAAAATTCTCTAGCTTTAATAACTAAGAACACGCTCGTTCCTCTTATGCTTTCCTCGCTTTGATTCACAGAGACAAAAGCATAAACACGAGGAAAGAAACTGCCCTTGATCTTTTCTTTAGTCGTACGCGTGTTCCATGCCACGTTGTTTTTGAGAGAGGGCATCGCTACCCAATTGGTACCGTTTTTCTTTCCCCTTACACTAATGCTTAATCATTTTTACATGCTTTCTTTTTACGGCTGGCCTGCCTAGATTACTAGAAGGAACGCTGGACTGCCTAGATCACTTGAACGAACGCAGATGAAAAGCTCAGTGTCCACTTGAACAGATTTTTAAAGTTTTTCTTAGAAAAGTGTGTTTATGTCAGTGGACTCGCAGTGATATATAACAAAGCTAATGTTATTCAGCTATACTCCTTTCTTTTATTCGTCCTCGAATAAAATTGACACAAATTAACAGAACTAAAGTAACCAGGTAGTAACAATATAAAATCTATATTCAGTATACTGACCGTGGAATTCAAAGCAAGCGAAATCAGTGAAAGATCAGTGTAGGCCACAGTGCAAAATTCAAGGTTTCTGTCAAACGATAGCAGTTGTGAGCAGTTGACCTCAAACAATCTCACTTGAATTTGTGTTTAACGAGAAAGCTGTTATTTGTCGAGAAACTGAAACGTTTATGATTAAGAGAATTATGCCTCGATTCTTTTTCTGGGATAATTTTTAAAGCAACAGTCAGGTTATACAATTTCTTCTACGAATTTCTGGCCTCCGCTCAAGAAATATGACTCCGCAGCACGCTAGCTAACTCTATCCACAGTTTTCTTGGAAAACCAAAAAGACAATTGCACATTTCACAGTATTTGATCTGACGCAAATATGTTTGCAATGAACCTGCTTATTCCATGATCACTAGAATTTATCATTTTGTTTCTAGTAAACGATCGAAATTGAATTCAGTCCCGCATTTTAGCTTTTTATCTCAAGAAACACACATCCTTCCCTCACCGAACTATGATCGACATGCAATTCTTTCATATCAAGCTTTAGCTTAGAGAATACGATTAAATATGAAAACACTTTCCCTAGGGTTATCCAGCCAGTAATTTCGTTCCATTAGCTTTTCGAAGTTTCATTCGAAGAGTTTTGGAAATAGTCGCTTGTGTTGTAAGACCTTCTCTATGATACCAATATGAAGAAATATCAGAAGAGAAAATATCGGAGAAGTACTAAGTTTAGAACTTTTAAAATTCTCTAGCTTTAATAACTAAGAACACGCTCGTTCCTCTTATGCTTTCCTCGCTTTGATTCACAGAGACAAAAGCATAAACACGAGGAAAGAAACTGCCCTTGATCTTTTCTTTAGTCGTACGCGTGTTCCATGCCACGTTGTTTTTGAGAGAGGGCATCGCTACCCAATTGGTACCGTTTTTCTTTCCCCTTACACTAGTGCTTAATCATTTCTACATGCTTTTTTTTTACGACTGGCCTACCTAGATTGTTAGAAGGAACGCAGATGACAAGCTCAGTGTCCCCATGAACAGATTTTTTAAGTTTTTCTTAGAAAATGTGTTTATTTTAGTGGACTCGCAACGATAACAAAGCTGATGTTATTCAGCTAAACTCCTTTCTTTTTATTCGTCCTTGCGTAAAATTGACACAAATTAACAGAGCTAAGTAACCAAGTAGCAATGATATAAAATATATATTCAGTATACTGACCGCAGAATTCAAAGCCAGCGAGAATCAGTGAAAGATGTAAGCCACAACGTAGAATTCAAGGTTTCTGTCAAACGATAGCAGTTGTGAGCCGTTGACCTCAAACAATGTCACTTCAATTTGTGTTTAGCAAGAAAGCTTTCATTTACCGAGAAACTGAGACGTTTATTATTAAGAGAATTATGCCTCAATTCGTTTTCTCACATTACTCTCACCTAGTGTAATTTTAAAGCAACAGTCAGTTACAATTGCTTCTGAGAATTTCCAGCCAATACTCAAGAAATGACTCCGCAATACGCTAGCTAACTCTCTCTACAGTCTTCTGGGAAAATAAAAAAGACAATTGCACATTTCACAGTATTCGATATGACGCAAATATCTTTTCAACGAACTAGCTTTTTCCATGATCTCTAGAATTTATAACCTTGTTTCTAGAGAACGATCAAAATTGAATTCAGTCCTGCATTTTAGCACTACATCAGTGCACAAGCAACACACATTCCTCCCTCTCCGATTCCCATGACATACAATTCTTTCAATTCATAACAAGCATTAACTAAGAGAATATGATTAATGGATGAAAACACTTTCCCTAGGGTTATCCAGTCAGTAATTTCGAAGTTTTATTTGATGAGTTTTGAAAATAGACGCATGTATTGTAAGATCTAATTCGCTACGATGCCATTGTGTGCAAATACAACTAATGAGGGAAAATATAGGAGTACCGAGTTAAGAACTTTTCACATTCTTTAGCTTAAATAAGTTGAAACACACTCGTTTCTCTTATGCTTTCTTCGCTGTGATTCACAGCGACATAAGCAAAAGCACGAGAAAAGCAAACTGCCCTTGATCTTTTGTTTAGTCGGAACGCGTGTTTCATGCTAAGTTCTTTTTATGAAAGAGGGCTCATTAGGCAATTGGAACCGTTTTTCTTTCTCCTTAGGCTCGTGCTTGCTCCTTTTGCATGCTTTTTTCACTGCTGACCTGCCCTTGATTGCTAAATTTGATGGATCGAGCTGCTTTGATGGTCAACTGACATGCACGCAGATATCGCCATGTGAAAAAGCTATACTGTGTTCCTTGATTAGAATTGCCTCTTTACTGATTAGAGACACTCCAAGAGCAAATAGCAAACTAACACTTACCAAGAGTTGAATTGTGTTCCCTTCGAAAACAATATGAATGATAGCAGCTAGCCGCTTTTGATTTCGATGCTGGGTGTTTGTTTTAAAATACACCTTCGTTTGATGAATGCCTAGGCTGTCTAGAGTAATCCGATACCCCAAAAGACGCTTAAATATATTCTGAACCACTTTCTTAGAAAACAGAAACGTGTGTTTTTTGAATGTTTACACAGTTATCCAACGTGATGTGAACATCCAATTTTTACTTTTACTATTCGGGAAAGAGTAATAAAATAATAAGCAACAGCTTGAAAATTAAAAGAGGAATAACTCAAATTTATCGGTGGTGTTTCTCAGTGGAGGCTAGCTTCTGCACTGCTAATGCTGAAATCGGCTTCAGCCATCGCTTCGTTTATACACTCCGATATCATTTGAAACCCGACTGACATAAATGCTGGAAAAACACGGGTAAACAAAGCTTGTTTGAATATAACAGCAATGGCGAGTAGTTCTAATTATTTTAAAAGCAATAACTGATATGAGGGGTATCGAGTGGTCCCATTCATGCTCGCAAAATGTGGCCTCCGCTCGAATTGCTCGCAAAAATTAGATGAGTGCTCGCTTGCTGGTGCTCGCAAAATNATTTACTTCACCTTACTATAAGTTACATTACATCATCTGCTCTACTTCACCATAAGTTACATTACGCCATTTACTTCACCTTACTATCAGGTACATTACGTCATTTACTCCACTTTACCAAAAGTTACGTTACCTCATTTACTTTACTTTGTATGCATTACCTCACTATATCATTTACTCCACTTTACCATAAGCTACATTACATTTACTTTACTTTCTATGCGTTACTTCATTACGTCATTTACTTTAAGGAACATTACGTCACTTACCTTTTTTACGTTACTTTACGTTATTTATTCCGCTGTACGTTATTTAAAATCATTTTAACTTTACCTTCACCACATTTCATATTATTGGCCTCTACTTTACACTATTAATAACCTCTCCTTTATATTACATTACGTTTATTGCCTCTCAAATGAAATCAAACGTCTCTTCCTCCTTCAGGCTCACTTAACTGCGAGGGTTCGATAATGCAACGTGCAAAGTTTGAATATTTTTCAACAAGTTACCCCCAGGAATTACAAAAGCTACAATACATAGACTGAAAAACAACACGGTGCGAGATAAGCTTCACTTCGAAATCTTTATTCCTTGTACATATATTCATACAATTTGATGTAAAAATTTGCCATTTAGTCACCCAATAGTTTCAACAGCAGCGTTATTCATAAAAAGCCTCTGAGCTGTACAGTGAATTGCTATTCTTGTTGCGTGTTCTGTTCCCTGGCTGCCATAGGTTTTATCTGTCTTTCTCGCGAGGAACGGCGTACCCGGTTAAGCGTGTTACGTGTTACCATGCCTCACCGCTAATTAAAAAAACCCTTTTGGACCCAGGGTGCGTATTCTATACATAACATTTATCATTCCACGCATTTTTATGTTAGTTTAAATGACATTCTTGCCAGATCTGCTTCACCTCTCAGGGCCGTAGCCAGAAAAAAAAAATATGCGAAAAATTATGACTGAGGCAATGCCCATTTTTAAATTCTCTTCCTAGGTATTTAGGGCGTTTTTGACGACTGTAAACGACAAAAAAACGGAAAAAAAAATGACTGAGGCAAGTACCTCGGTGTGCATGTTACTGGCTACGACCCTACCTCTTGTGTGCTACACTATGCTAGTGAAGGCTCCTAACTCTAAATAATATTATTTTCCCATAACTTGCTTCTGAAGAACTCAAGATAAAAAATATATTAAGATAAAAGTTCCATTTGTTTGTCATACAAACTTATGGGTGTTATTGTTATTATTACAAGTGCTAAAGTGCAGAGATCGAAGATGCCCTGCCACTAGCATATTATAATGTTAGTAATAGTTTAATTTATTTAATAATATATTTTCCCTAATAATGCATTTCTTCACCATTCATCAGCAACTGTAATCTGTCAGATATTAGGTGCTATTCATAAAGAAATTAAAGTATTAAATTTCCATTCATCCTGCTTGTTGACAAGTTTAAAGATTATTTTTCTCTTTTAAAAGTTCCTTACGCAGTCTTAGGCATTTGCGCTTTGTTGGCTAAGCTGAATAATATTTTAAGTAGCATTCTCAACAAAAAGTACTTTAAGTACTATTTACCCCATCTTGCCTGTGTAACACTATCTAAATATTCAATGACAAGTTTTAAAAACTGCTGTGGTTGTTCCTGCTGAGAACTGAGATTATAGAAAGAAATTCTGTCAAAATGTTACAAATTTAGCAGAAAAACCCAGTTTATTTTGACATTTTTAGGCTAAATGCCATTGATAAGAAATCTTCATAAGCTATTGTTATCCAGCCATTCTGATTATAATCACGGGATCTGAAGGAATTCGTCAACATCTGAAAGAAAACAATTTGAAGATTCACGCCAAAAATTACTAGTTGAAACTAGCATGTACATTATGAATTCTATGAGTTTTAGTCTTAACTGCTTTGTCCTTACACTAGTTGCAAAGAATGGTGTGGTGTAAACAAGAGGGGATGGGATAGGTGAGAAACATCTTTTTCCCCTTCTTGTAAAAAGCTCTGTAGATGCTCTGTATTAACTGTTTATTGAGCTTGGGAGAGAAAAACAAGCAGCTAGCAGTCAATAATACCCACAGGATTAGGGGCTTTATAACAGGAGGACAATTTATAGAAGAGATGTTAACAGGGAGCTGACAGTAGAAGGGTGCAATCTATAGGAGGTACTTTGTGATCCACAAGGGGTTTATCTTTAGAGAACCTATAAGGAAAGATTATAAAATAGTAAGTGTGATCTATAGGGGACTAACAGAGGTATTTATGGGGAATTCTACAGGGAGCTATTAACATGGGTCAGGGAGGTAATTTTCTATGAGGGTGTTGGTAGCAAATAAAATAAAACCCACAGAGCCAATAGCCTGCACCTACAGGAGGGAGGAAGGGAAAAATGATGCAAAAGGGGATGAAATGAGATCAAGAGAAGCTTTTTTTCTCTCCTCTCCATCCCTGAGTAATCATTACTCCCTCTCATACCTGTAATATGATGCAACACTGAATGAAGTCATCAAAGTTAATGGAGCCCTGGCCACTGCGATCAAACTTTGTCATGAGAATGGTGTACATATTTTCTGACAGCCTGTAACCTGCAGGCAAAAGTTGAACAATGAATTGCAAATTTCTCAAAACAATCAGAGTCAGTTCCATTAGTGCTATTGAGTCCACTCACAGTTTTTTTTCCCCAGTTTATAAGAGATGATGGAAATTATCAAAATTTAGTATGTAAAAAAAAATCCAATATGGAGTTTTAATAAAAAATAAGATTAGCACAGAAACCACTAGGTTGTTGATCTAGTTAGGGGAGTTGAGAAGCTACATGTATGACAAAATTTGCAGATTTATTTAGTACTCTACTGTATATTAAATATTTATTTAGAGTATTTTCGTATACATCAATTTGCATATGCATATAAAAAATCACCAGCCTTGGTAAATAAAGCGAATATCTTACGAATGGGTAGGCCATGGATAAAAACCATTGATAGTAAAACAGAGCATTTACTTACCAAAGTTTGTAAGAGCTGTGAACAAAAAAACAAGGAGAAATTAATATCAACAATAAACCATCTATTAAGTAAACAGAGAAGTATTGAAATTTAATTACAGTGGGGACCCTCCACTGTGAGCACATGACAGCTTTTTGATAACTATGCAATCAGGGCTCTCAATGTATGAAAAAGAATTGGCGTTCTAAACAGAGTGCAAATATTTAACCTGTTTGTTTAAACACGAAAAGCCTTCAATGGATTATCATCAACACACACACACACACACACACACACACACACACACACACACACACACACACAAAAACAATAACAACAACAAACACTTAGGGGTATTCATGAGTTCAAGTGTCCTAACTATAATCATATCTTAATTCTTTTGTTACAAAATCAATTGTTGTTTATCAAAAGAATAGCTGTGAAGTGTTGAAATGCATGAAATCTGACAAGGGAAAAAAAATGAGTTTTACAAACATAAATGATTGGCAGTCTTGCTGTCTAAAGGAAGTCATTTACCTTCCATCACCTGTCACTAGTACTGTTACTGTCACGCACATCATCATGATCATATGAATAATAATATTACAATATCATTCTTTAATATCATTCAATGAAAATATACCTGTTTTTAATTCTTGTCTATCAATGGTTCCAGAATTGTCCTGATCATAGCTTCTAAATGTTCTTTGCCAGTCAGTTACATACTGCCACAATGCATAGAACTCATTGAACTCAATTGCGCCTGAGTTATCATGATCAAACATACCTAAAGAAAACAAAACCACATTAGAAACTCTCACATTGTGCAGTTCCAGGAAAAGATCCATACTCCCCCCACAGAAGGGAATGGAATTTCTTAGGGGATGGGGGGCTCTTTAAGACCAAAAAAAGTATAGAAATGTATGAAGCTTAATTGGAATTTCCAGAGGGTGGAGGGGTCTTAGAAACTTTCTCCTCTCTGGGGGTCGGTACAGATATTTTCTGGAACTACACATTGTAATTTGGATCATAATAAACTCTGCAATTTTAAAAATCAGTAGAAATACCGATCATGAGCCGTACTGTCTCAGGATTAAACGGTGTCCATGTTCCTGAAAAAAAGAAAACAAAACATAGTCAAACATTTATTATGTAAATAGAAACATAATTTAAATTTATTTGGAATATTCAACACACGAAACCTAACTTCCAAAGATTTTGTATAGCTATCTCATTTTGCAGTCAGGCTAGTGTATTTTATCATTTACTATTTGGCTGACAGGCTGCTTATATCCTGCTTTCGACACATTTGCTGGTTTTCCTGGCAATTTGTACTCTGCAAACACCATTTTAAAATTCATTGTGGCAAAATCATAGTATATAATTAATTGAATAAGTTGGTAACTCTCAGTTTCAATTGTCCATGTGGGCACACCAAGGTGATTGCCGCAGAAATGCTGGACAATTTATTCTGAGACACCATATCTATAGTACCAGATCAATTTTGTTCATTTGCTGCAAATATTCAGAATCACTGGAGAAAATTGCTGACATAGCAGGAGCAGGCATGCCTGCAAAAAATTGCCTCATGTGTCACTGGCTTAAATATTGTGCAGTGCTTCTGATTACCATTTGATAACGCTTGTTGAAGTTCATCAGCTGATATGGATCCATTTCTGTCTTTATCTATTCTACAAAACAATGAATCGATTGCAGAAGTTGTTAGTTTAATTTGTAAAGGAATTTTCCTTGAGATAAGCTTAAGCTTAAAAGTGGCATTTTCATAAGAAATCAAATTAATTTTTCATATCCACACAGTAGCTTACAGATTATAAGTACACTATGTGGAATACTGCTGTTAAAAGCATCTACAGGCAAAATGTGCTCTATTTCTGAAAGCGAAGCTATAGAATACTATGAATACAGCTTCTTCCAAAGACAGTCTGTTTCGATCGGTTGTTAAGCTGAAGTGTGTAGTAAAGAAAGCCCATATTTTCTTAATCTGCGTATATTATAAGTCACTGAGTATGAGCCCGTTAAATAAAGACGATCCATTTACTACTACGTACTTGGCGAAGATACTCCAGAGAAAATTTCTGTCTACTGGCACTCTTGCAGCCATGACGAAATGCACATCTACTCTGTTGATTGAAGCGATGCGGTGAGGGGAGAGCGTGAAGCACCAGCGAGTGGAGGTAGGGGTTAAAAATTGTAATATTTACTGTAATGATAAGGAGCATAATGATTAAAATTAATAAAAGTTAAGCAAAAGGAAAAATCGAATGGATTTGATATTATCCATATCTTAAAAATTTATTTTCATTTTGAAAATGATGAAAATGATTCTCGAGGAGTTTATTTTAGTCTTTCTGACCTACCCCTCCCGAGGCTATCTCTTTTTGCAAATAGCTGTGCCACCGCGCTATTTCGTTATTTCAAACCATGGCGTACTACGGTCAACCTGCGCCTCAACACGATCAAAATTTCTTGTGGAACGTTTTCCAAAGGTAGTCACAGGAACAAAATATAGCTGATGGATTTGGGTAGAACAGTATCTGAAGTATATTTTGACAAATTTCTGTGTGATTCACAGGGTGGACAAAGACAGAAGCGGTGCAATTTCTACAGACGAACTCCAACAAGCGCTGTCAAACGGTACTCACTGCTTCACCTTGACTTTTGAACTTATGAATCTTTATTGCTGTTGCTGTAGTGACTTAATCTTTACTCGTCTAGATCATTAATGACCCTTTTTCTTCCCTCAACAGGGACATGGACGCCTTTTAACCCCGAGACTGTTCGACAAATGATCGGTCTGTACTGGAACTTGTCCGACTTGACTGCCATTCTGTTATCTTGTTATTTTCCGGTATTTTCTAGGACGTAAGCGCCGTTGTCACCTGCATTTATATGTGCAGATGTCGTTTCGCAGACACTGATCTTTGTTAACCCACCATGTCACTTAATCACAGTTTAATTGTTAGACTGTATAGATCTTTTGTTCTGTTTTGCAAGCTATGCAGTACGTTTTCAGTTTTATTTTTTAATATTCTTTCCCTACCATTTCCATATTCTGTGTTTTGTTGATCCCAGTGAGAGTACTGGGGTTAAAATGTGATGGTTAGGTGCGAAATAATGACCCAATAACATACCATAAAAAAATCCCCCTTCTTATTTCTGATATGAAAAAAATATCCACCGTATAATGTTAAAATTTTAACACAAATATTGTAATGAGATTGTCTGAGTGTATTTAATAATTTGTTACTTTTCAGGAATGTTTGATCGCGACAACAATGGGACCATCAATTTTCATGAGTTTGCAGCTCTGTGGAAATACATTACAGACTGGCAAAATACCTTCAGAACTTATGACAAAGATAATTCTGGACATATAGACAAGAACGAGCTTAAGACAGGTATCAATCACATGATATGTTTATTCCAAGGGAGGGAGAGGGAGTTGTTTTAACCTCTCCATTGTAAAGAGTACTTGATTTCAAAATTCAAAAACACCTACTGTCATTTTGCATAAAGTAATATAATAGTTTTGGATGCACATTCATTTAATAACGAAGCACGCCAAGTCTAAAAATAGAATGCAAATTACTGGAACCCTCACAAGAGTCGGAAAACATAAGCATGTTCTGAGAGAAATAGGAGGAAAATGAACGCCAAATTTTCGTTTTGTTTGTCTGAGTTTGTCTGAGTCATAATTTCACTTGCGTGCTTCGCTATTAGTCACACACACTCTCTTTCTCATTGAAATTGGGGTAAACAGAATGAGAGAAATGAAACTGAAAAATAAGTGAGACTTGCCTGTAAGGTAGAGCTCGATTGCAATCGTACCGAGTTATATTGGTACCAAGGGATTACATGGGATTGCAAGTGCATGTATTAACTCAGGTTATGACAGTTTTCAAAGAAACAGTCTGTTTGGCAAAATACTGACCAAGAAAGAACCAATCAGATTTCTTAGAATTACATCAAGAGTACCTTGCCATATAGTAATATTGTAAACATTGAAATTTTTGCTGATTTTTTCTTCTAAGCATCTCTTCTCTCCTTTTTGCAGCTTTGACTAGTTTTGGTAAGTAAATGCATAGACTGAGGTATCAGCTACTTTTCTATATATTATATGTAAATTAGTTTACACATTAAATATTTAATTTTTGTATTTTGTCTTGCCCAGTCACTTATAAAACCAAGACCAGTACAAAATTTGTATCTTTTTCCTCTGCAGGTTACAGATTGTCAGACAGATTTTATGAGATTTTGATCAAAAAGTTTGATAGGAGTGGACGAGGAGTAGTCAATTTTGATGATTTCATACAGTGCTGTGTGGTAATACAGGTCAGTTTTACCAATGAATAATACAGTTGAATTCTTCGAGAAAGGCACCCGCAAAGGTAGAAAGTTGTTTATAGTTTTGCTGTTAAATTAATCCCAAATTGAAGAAAAATAACTGAATGTCTGGGATTTAAATTGAGCTTAGAAATTGAAGCAATTTCAGTGGAACTGATAAACCAAGTAATTCAAGTGAAAATAGGTTTTGGCAATAAAATCATTATCGGTTGCGTATGTTATTTGTCGCTGTCAATTAAACAAGGGCATCTAATTAGCTTGCTATATTTTTGCCCTTTTCCATTTCTCCTCTTACTTGTCTACTTTATATTTATCTTTGTAATTTTAGAATGGAATAAATAAATAAAATGAAATGAAAAAATGAAATGTTATTTGTCCGGTCGGGTATGTTAAATTTCCGGAGTGCCCGCTACACGCCATCAGGTATTTTCTAAAGTGCTCGCTGCTCGCAAGACAAATTTGATCACCGCTTGTGCTCGAAAAAATAAACGCACTGCTCTCATGCTCGCAAATGCTCGCAAAGACCATACTAATATATACAAACGTTCCCAGTCCAGAAAGATGCTATTCCATATCAGGATTAATGGCCACCCTGACCATATTGAAATAACACTTGCAGCTTGCGAACAGGCTCCCGGTGAACCCGAACGGAGCCCCTGCCCCCGCCCCGATCGCTTCGCTTTCCGAATTCTTCCGTTTCGCGCTCGCCGAAATTTTTTTTCCGTCCTCGCCGGGAGCCTGTTCGCAGGCTATAACAACTGCTGTAAAATAACTCTCATAAGGGTTTGATGACGTGATTAACCACGTGACTAAGCCCAGATAAGCAATTAATTTTAATATACAAAAGGACACTGGTGTCTTTAAACTAAGAGAGTTATTAAAATAAAAGAATAATTTAAGAAACTAGACTTTTTCTTAGCTTGCGACACGAATACACGAATTTGAAAACAAACGAAGAACGATCTAGCGGCGAGGAGTGTAGTCTCGACGGTTCCCCTCTCAATTCTTTCATTTCCTAATTGGCATAATTTTAACTTTTCCGATCGCGCGGAGGATTTCAAAGACAAAAACCAACAGCTCATTGTCTAATTGTAGTCTGCGCCCGACGTTAACCAGAAAGCCATAAGGAGTTAAAACGTGCGTGAAATGCGAGTTCAGAGCTTTTGAATATTCAGTTTTGCCAAATACTACATCGAAGCCTGTTGCAGGCGTTCGGTTCAATAACTGGGAGCCGGCGCGAAGAACGAGTGAAAAAAAAAAGGCGTTCTCGGGCTCGCCTCCTTCGAATTCGCTCGCGCCTACAAACTGAGACAGCCTGGAACAGGCTAACAGCGCATTGAACTTAAACGCGAGGAGTTGACGAATAACAAGTACATACAAGACTGACCGTCAACATTTTTGGGTTCGGGGAGTATTTGGATACATTCAGATTGGTCTCCTTCAGAGGTTTAATCTAATTTTTCTGAGTAAAATGAAACTACTTGCAAAAATCCTATAAATTAAATTAGATAAAATTAATGATTTCTTCAATAGCTACGCTAAGAATAATAATCATTCGTTCAAAGTTAAACTGTGCTATCAGAGACGTCTTTCCTTAGCCTCACGGAGCCGCATCTCAAGTTTCTTTCTACAGGTTCCTTCGGATCCTAATCAGTGTTTGTAGCCTGCTTTCATTTTGTTTAAAGCAAAACTCTATATACTAACCACTTGCGGATCTGAAGGCAAAAGAACTTCATATAACTAATCACACTGATGCAATACATTATATTTACCAAAACTTCTCTTCACGTATTGTTCCGATTTGCAAAGCAGCTGAGCTATTCTGTTTACAAACGTCAAATGTTCCAACATTGACCAACATTTGTGCAGTATTGGCATGTATATGTAATGACAACATGTAATGACAATATTTGTCATAGTATGGCAGCCATAGTACTTTACAGTGACTACCTGTTGCTGATCTGTGTGATGCGGGTTGTAAAAATGTTTTATGCATTGTTTCTTTACACTGGATGCTTTTAAGTTAAAATAAAAATAGATTTAATTTATCGCACATGGCGGATTTCGCATAATTCCGCAGCAAGCAATGTTATATTTTATTTCTGGGTTTCTACTTGTGGAAGCTGCTGACTGTGTGCATTCCCATCAGGACAGGCTGTTGTCCCGGATATTGAACTGGCTGCTGTCGCGGATGTGTAAGCGGTTGGTAGACTTGCTGTGTCGCGCCTTGTGGGACAAAAACCACAGCGGGCTGTTGGACGACACCTGGCTGGCCTGCTTGCTGCGGGTGGCCAACCTCCTCCGCCCTTTGCTGCTTGTACAACTTGTAAAGAAAGTAGATGTCCACAATGAAAATTATCCAGGAATGGTAACCGAACCCCTGTCAAAACAACAAGAATGAACGGACATTTTTAATTAAAACTCTGAATAGCTGTCATCAAGTAATTATTTCTCTTTATCAAAGAAAAGAGTGATTGTTCCGACAGGTAGCACAGGGTAAGGGAATTAGTTGGGACGGAAGCTTTGATTAATTTCCATGCATTTTTGTACAAAAAGAGTACTTGGGTACAGGAATAGGAACCCAGTTACGTGAACTGTCTTTGAGAAATTTCCTGCTGAAAACTGGAAAGAATACGTAGTCGATAAATAAATATGCAAAATAAACAAATACGACTCTTTACGTTAAATAAATAAATCTGATTTAAAAAAAAAGACCTTATAGGAGAAACCGTCCCATGGCTTCTTGACCAATGCTGCAGAGGCAAAGTTACAATTTACAATAGGCCATTGTAACAGCACAACTGAATTCTACTTACCAGCCCAATCACTAAGGCTAACACGTCGGGCTTGAACACATCGTTGTACGCCTGTACATAGTCTATAGCGTGTGATGTCACGTTTCCACAGGACGCGATCAATAAAACGGACAAGACGAAGTGGATAAGCAGTGTCTGCAAACAACGCAAAAAACGATATTAAATAGGAAGAAAACTGTACGGTAGGGATATTTTCAGGCTTAAATGTTTCGAATTATTCTTCTCCGTTTCATCGAAAGATTTTTCCAGGCTTTAAATTAATTGAAAGATTTTTGATTGTCTGAGATGCCTTGGTTGACAGTTTAAAGTTGACGCATTTTTCAGCTGGTTCAAACAGTTTCAACTGTGACAAGACAGAGCAGTTTTCAATTGAGTGTCGTAAAACCAAAACCACGCCAATTACTTACCAATTAGACTACTCAGCCTCTCAAACCGTAGTATAACCAAAACCAAAGTAACTGCCTTATTACTTTCGACACTCAATTGAAAATCGCTCTATCTCAGACTGTTTTATGACTTACCGTCAGAGTCCAGGGAGATGATCGACTGCAAAGCTTGTCAAAACTTAGCACAAACGTCAAAGCCAGGAGAACGACCATCACCCACGAAAAGATTGTGATTCCCTTGAAGAAATCTACTGGGGTCTCTGCTGTAAGTTTGGTCATGTCAAAGTACTTTATGATACACACCCATGCTGCAAACAGCAACGACTGCGAGGTATGGAACACTTCGAGTCAGCGGAGGTACGTGATAAAACTGAATACGTGTGTAAGTACAGGGAGCAAATAGCACATGGTAAACATTTTAATGACACTTAAACCAAGAGCCCGAGGGAGGTGGGCTGACTATTTTAACAGATATACTATAGACCTCCCCTCACCTCACAAAGGATGATCTAAAATTATTACGAACAGTCATTCAGTCTGTCAGTCAGTCAGTCTGTCAGTCAGTCAGTCCGTCAGTCAGTCAGTCTGTCGGTCTGTCGGTCTGTCAGTCTGTCAGTCTGTCAGGCAGTTAGTCCGTCAGTCAGTCAGTCGTCAGTCAGTAATTCAGTCAGTCAGCCAGCCAGTCATTCAGCCACTTGGCAACAATCAGCACTGGCCACAATCGTATCTCGATCTAAAGACAAATCTACATGCCGTCGTTTTAATTTTTGCGAACTGAGTTCAGCTTAGCGCTTTTCTCTAAAAAGTGCTCCCTTACTGCTTGTTTTTTTCATCATCAGTTATCCGAGGAAAACTGATAACACTAAAGCTACTTTTAAAAGGCTTACAATTTCTGTCGACTTCACGTAAAACAGCGGGGATCGTATGTACTCGATGTTGACATCCCAGGCTCGTCGCTGGGGAGGTCCTTGGTCGGGGGGCATTTCCTGGGCTCGCTGTGTCCGAAACAACTTGTGATTCAAAACCATATCAACGACGAACGCTATGCAGGATAAAAATCCAAAGGCCTATCAAAGATGAAGGAAACGTGGAAACGCAGTAATGTCAGCAAGAGTAACAACTTGTAGAGTTTACAAGCACAATAACTTTGAATGTCAGGGTTATACGCTGTAAGCCCGATCCAACCTTCCACGCCTCCTCACACCTAGCTGCGAGGCCGCGCCAAGTTTCCAAAAGGGATGTGTTCCTAAGTTATGCATTTGTAGGACAATTGTTTTAGAAAAGCCAATGTATCAGGTTCCTTAGGTAAGTTATCATGCTAAAAACCGTATTTTTCTTTAACAATTAAATCATGACCTTGAGATTTCTACCGCGTGATAATTTCTACCGCGTAACAATTAAGGAGGGCTGCGCCCTCGTCAACTTTCACACATAGAATTCGAAAGCGATTAATCTAATTGTTTTAGTATAAATCTGCTCGTTGTTTAAAAGTTTATCTAATTAAATCCTCTTCACAGACACTTCGAAACACAAAGAAGCGTCTGCCAGTCTGTTAACAAGTGCTTACTGCTATGCTATTCACTATCTATCACAGGCTAGAATGGATAGTGAGCAGCCTAGCCAATCAGAGAGCTGCATTCTTGACAGAACGCTAGTAGATTTATACTAATTAACAATTAGATTGTGAGCTCGAGATTTCTATCGCGTGATAGTTGACGAAGGGGGGGGCCTAGTAAACTAACAATTTTTTTAGCATTTCTCGTCCTCGCAAACTTCCACTCCTGTCACAGAGAGCCCTCACATCCGTTTAGAACATGAATAAAAGATCAACCAACCTTAATATCGCGCATGTTTTCTGTTTTGTGGCGGCCATTTTGAAGTTTTTAATACGCGTTCTACTAGTGCGAGGTCTGGAAACGAAATTTAAGAAGTCTGGGGCGGGCGGGAAAATTCGCAAATTCTCGGAGAAGCCGATCGCTCCCGAGGATAGTCAAGTCACTCTTAGAGCTGCGAGCAGGCACCGAACGATTTCCGTAATTTTCGGCTCCAGACCTCGCACAAACAGACCGCGCGTGTATTAAAAATTCAAAATGGCCGCCACAAACACAAAACACGCGCAATAAAGGTAGGTTGTTCTTTTATTCACATTTTAAACGGATGTGAGGGCTCCCAGTGTCCTGTTTCTTAAACTCGATAGAACTGACACGGAACATGTTTTCTATTTCTTAACTGATTTCCGCCCATTGTGGGGGGTACAGTTAACCTCACCACGCATTTAGGCACCCAGGAAAAATGATTAAACGATTACTTTACCAAGGCAACGCTGAGTGTGAGGAAAGGATTTCCAAATTCGACGGCCCTGGAAACCAAGTTTCCTGTACAGGTGAGTAGTAATGTAAACATGATGAAGTAGAAGATCAAAGACTGTGAAATGCAAAAATATATATATTGATTACTGTCTTTGCAGGTGCAGTAATGAAAGGAAAAAAAGAAATAAGCGGGTGGTTAAGAGCAAACAGGTATTCTTCACCCCTTAGCCCTCCTTTTTCTGGTTCCCCGCGTATTCCTCGAAGTGCAAGACAAGTGCAACTTGCATATGACCAAGAGAGAGTACATTTCATTATCCTGACTGAGAAAATAGCTTCATTGTGATTGGCATAGAACGGGTAAATTTATCGATAATTTGAATTTGCACTGCAGTGCAACTTAACACTTGCGCGTTCGTAATACTAATTGAGAAAAAGATACAGTAGTCATAGTAAAATTTTTTAGTGAGGAAGCTCCACTCACAGCAGGAGTTTTCAGGAAGGTCCTGAAAAAAAATTTCTATAATAAAATACTACTTATCATTACTATATACATAAAAAATTATAACAATTCAGTTTCAAGTAATTAGTAATTTTCTCAGTCACATAGTTAATGAATAATCCTATGAAAGCTTGAGTAATTATAGATTTACACCATTATTAGAGAATCACTTGTAGTGTAAATTCTAATTGCGCTCGTATTCATACGATTGCCTATACTTAACCGATCGGTTACAATCAATTAGTCAACCTCGTTCCCAGGGTTTGTCATCTTTCCGCCCTACATGAGAGACCCTGGGAACAAGGTTGTCAATTACTGACGGGTGGATGGGTCAACAACGAAAGGGAGGTGTGTTAACCCTGACGAATATCAGTATCTAAAATTTAGAAATTATTTGCACATTTTGTTTTGACTTACCGCTAAAGTGAACAGGGACGGTCGTTTGAATTTGCAAATCTTAGGGAAGCTCAACGTATGTATTATCAAGTAGAGGATGACCATGACCCAACAGAAAATTGTGATGCCTTTGAAGAAGCTAGCTTTTTTATTATCCACCTCTATTCTGTTGAAAGGGTCTAGATCATCAAAGTACTTGAGGATACTTGCCCATGCGCCGAGCAGCACAACCTGCAAAACCGGATATTTCAATATATGACTTGAAAGGAATGACTGCTGACATTTTCACTGAGTTGGCAAATTGGCCTAAGACGAGTTTGTTGCTCTGCTCATACCGCGATCGCAAAGTTTTCAAGATGGGGGAGAGGTGAAGAAAGAAGATGAGAGAAACGGGAGGGCATCGGAGGTACTGCTTTTGGTATCTCTTACTCGTGCAGTGTACATAAGCGAGCCGATCCATCTTAGCTATGACAATGCAAGTGAGTTTATGAAAGATGTTAAGAGGCTGTCCGCTTAAGAATCGACCACTTAATTCGGATCAAAATTTCGATTTCCTTTAAAATTTCTCCACGAAACAAGGTTTATATAAGGTAAAATAAAATACATTTCTTTGGTTTTTATTCTTGATAATAGTCGAGATTTTGAGGAGAATGTGATCGATACCCGAAACCCTCAAATTGGGCCTTTCACGAAGCC